GTGGTAAGCAGTGCGCGCTTCCACTCCACAATGCCTGGGTTCAAACCCTGGTCAAAGCAACATCGCAAAAATATAGAAAAAAGGTTTTTTCTTAACAGCGGTCGTCCCTCGGCAGGCAATGGCAAACCTCCGAGTGTATTTCTGCCATGAAAAACAGCTTCTCATAAAAATACAATCGCCGTTCGGAGTCGGCGTAAAACTGTAGGTCCCTCCGCTTTGTGTGACAACATCAAGGCGCACGCCACAAATCGGAGGAGAAGCTCGGCCAAACACTAACATATGTGTAAGCGCCAATCTATTATTATTATTATTAATGTTATGAATGCTTTAAAACGCCAGAGTACTTGTTTTTAACAATATTTTGGTATAAATAAAATATAGTTCATAAAAGCAAAAAGTGTTATTCATTTTAACATGAGTGTATACAGAAGACATAAATTATTTTATATTTATGACATATTTGACTAGCAATAATGAGATGGTTCAATCTTCAGTAAATAGTCCAAGAACTCTATACATTTCATTTTAAATTACTTTTAATTTGATTTTCACTTTAAAAAATTTTAATTAGAAACCGGTTTCTCTCTTTGCGTCAGGAATCAAAAAAAAAATACATGCTTTTTCAAACTGTGGAAGAGTACCACTATCTAAGGACTGCATCTATATCAGTGTGTCCAGATTTGGCGCCAATTCGGCGATTTTTTTTTTTGATATTTGCGCGTAAATATTTTGGAAATCGCCATTGGCGATTATTGGCGATTTTTTCTCTTCAAGTACATTTTTTCCAATTATAAAAATATACAAAACTTAGTTTCCACGATAATTTTACAGAAGAGGCTAATAAACCTGAACTGCGTGATAAACTTGACTTAATAAGCATACTAAAAGACTGCCAAAATTTTTTATCACTCTAATCGAACAACTTTTGAAACGATTACCTAGTCAATTAAATACTTTTAAAAAAGCTTTGATTTTGTCACCAGAAAAGTCTTTGAATCAAAGAGTGCGAGTTTCAGGGACCTGCCAATACACTGTCTGAAATAACTGAATATCTAAAGCTTTTAACTTTCCCATGGAATAACTTTTTTCAGAACGGCATTCCTTCTGACTGAAGAATTTTGGATAATTGCTTACGGAGTGAAAACCGCAACAGGCAATAAAATGTTTGGAAATATAAATAACGTAGCCTTCATATTATTATCCTTGCCGCACTCAAATGCTTTTGTTGAGCGCGCTTTTTTCTGTAATGAATTCAACCAAAACTAAGATTCGAAATAGGATGAGGTTGGAAAGCCTTAATTCAGTAGTTCGAATAAAATGTTATATGAAGGCTAATAGTTTCTGCTGCAAAACGTTTCCAATATCAAACAGTATAGGGTGCAAATGGCCTAGCATCATTGCATTGCAAATTTGTATTGCAAATTATTTGCAATACACAAACAAAATACACGCATTTGCATTTGTCATGGCTTGGCAAATTTGCAATACCGAAAATCCATAGCATAAAAATGCTATGCATTGCAACTCTGGTTGACATTTCTATCAGCTGATTAAATTCATAAACAAAACCAAAGCTGATGCACAAAAATTGTTTTGCAAAAGCTTTACCATGACAGTTTAATAAAGGTCGGTCACAATCCATTGCATATTTCTGCAATTGCATAAATTTGTCAGCTCTTATGCACCGAATCGCGAATAGCCCTTACGTTATCAAGGCTCAATATATGACAACACAAATGTAAATGATTCAGACACTATAGGCGATTTTGAAGAAATTGTGGAAATAGCTGATCGCGCCTTATTATAGGTTGTTATTTTATCTTTTAGCGCCGAGCGCTTAAAAGGAGATTATGCAATTAATCAATTAGTATGAGTTATAATAAATTTAATAATTGCGCGGTCCTATTGGAAAATGTGTTGATACAAATATTTTTAAAAAGTATGCGTATTTAAAAAAAAATTATATATTATATAAGTGATTTGTGTTATTTATTATTACCCTGGAGGTATTATATTCGTTTTTTTTTAACTATATTATAACAAGATCTCATTTTTAAAATAAAAGATATGTTAAGTCAATTTCATTAAATTTATTAAAAAAAAAAATTGGCGATTTTTAGGAATTTTTCAGAAATGGCGCTTTTTTAAACAATCTGGACACACTGATCTATATTTCCTCAGGGCTTAAATAAATTTTTTCAACTTCGCAAAAACTTTGATAGACTAAGAATCAGCTACAAAGAATATCTAACTCTATGTCTTGTATGCAAAGCTCATTTACAATGTGAGTAAATTTTGAAAAAATAATTGTTAGTTATAGGCAAAAGCCATTCGAATATTAAAATTTGCTGTTATTAACACTCGACAAAAATGTCAGCCCCATTTTTAAATAATTTAAGCTCCATCATATTATCGCAACTGGTACGTAACGAAATTGAAAATTCAGTACAAATCAGTACAAATTTTGAAAAATCAGGACATTAGCGTACTGATTGAAGAAATTAATAAAATCAGTACAAGAATTGAAAAATCAGTACTGTACTGATAAAATCAGTACGTCTGGCAACCGTATGTGGATAGTACGCATAGGTGGTAGTACGTTTCGCGGCGCATACATCAAATAATGTGTTTATTATGCCGCCAATGGCGAATTCCGCCAAGGAGGGTTCGCCAACACTACTCAATTGGCTTATGTAAAAGATGTACACTGAAGGTGGTAAGACGCCAGGTTACGATTGTGTACAAACTACCGAAATTGGTTAAAAGATTTCGAGCTAGATGTTTTGGAGAAAGCCTACACCACAGAACAGTAATGGTATAGCCAGTGAAGGTACATTTATAGTATTTAGAAATAAAAAAAAAGAACCTGAGTCTTGCGATAGTTTTGTATAATTGTTTTGGAATTGAAGTAACTAAAAGTGGTACTTTATTTATTTTGAAATGTAATGTGTTTTCTCGAAACATATTAAATCTGTGAGCTATGCACATATGTAGATGCTGCGCGATTTTCAGGTTTTTACATGTTGCAATTATACTTTTATTGTGCATTCTCTAAATGGCAGATAAAGTATGACTGTTTTGCCCTACAATATAAGTAATGTGAATTTTAATAGGGCTTTCCAATCAAGATGTTCTTTGTAATTTTATAATGTAAAAGGCGCAAGTTTAATTATCAATGCATTATAATGCATTAAATGAATATTAGATCAGCAATCAATCACTATCTTGGTCGTCGGCGCTCTATATACCATTAAGTTTAAAACAATTATTGTTTAAGTTACATATTTCATTTACACCTTTTAAAATATAAATAGGAAAAGACTAATAGCACTAAAGAGATGCAGTCCAAACATGGCCAATTAGATATGTTGAAATGAATGAAAAAATACAAATTTTCGAAGACAAAAGGTATGTAAATTGTTTGTTTGTCTTGTACTGGAGGATTTTATTCGATGCGGTTGTGTGGTTGGAATGATCGAACCTTTTAAGTTTTTTTTGCTTCTGTAAAATTAAAAATTTGCTGGTTAGGGACTTTGTGAATTGAAGTAACGATATGTATATACGCGTAAAAAATACGACTATTGTCAACTCCAAGAGCAGAGGGTCCGCTTGAACAATAAGAGTGGCTAAATTGTATCAATGCATAGAGCTTAAAGGGTAATTAGTGGAGACTTAGCATAATTTAACTTACGTTTATTGAGTATAAATTATAAGATTTCTTAAATTCAACTTCGAAAAAAAGGCTGAAGCATGTTCCCCATATAACAGTTTTAAAATACGTAAAATCCACACTAACCACATTGATAAAACAAAGGTAAAATGGAATATTTAAAATAAATTCATAATTATTCATAATTATTTTCCATGGGCCAAGGTTAAAAATTCAATGCTATTGGGTTTGGAGCTTTTTGGCCAGTTATATTAAATAAAACAAGTGTTTACTTCTTCTCCTACGCGTTTCGACGCATATTCGCGTCTTCTTCAGGGAGTCTATATATTTATAAATACGAAAAACATAATAACTAATAATTATTACAAGGAGTAAATAAGACAATACAAAATAATTTTACACTAATTACACCTACATTAATATTAATAAATTAATTTATGTTGTGATAATTTTATTGCTTAATATTAAAGTAAGTGTAATTAGTGTAAAATTATTTTGTATTGTCTTATTTGCTCCTTATAATAATTATTCGTTATTATTATGATTTTCGTATTTATAAATATATAGACTCCCTGAAGAAGACGCGAATATGCGTCGAAACGCGTAGGAGAAGAAGTAAATACTTGTTTTATTTAATGTAACCAGCCAAAAACTCAAACCCAATAGCATTAAAACGATTCATATTTATATTCTAATAAATATTGTTTTTTTATTGAAAGTATTTAATTTTAATATAATGTAGTGGGTAATTGGTTATTACTGTTCCACACCACCAATTTTTTAGGGTGTTCGGTTTCCCAGGAGGCATATTTTCACCCATATAAAATAAATATTATTTACATTACATTTTCTACTTTCCAAAAATTTCCAATGCCGCTGATTGCTGCAAGGATTATTTAGCGGATTGGAGCACAATTTACACAATATATGCACATACATATTATCATTTCACAGATCTCAGGGTCATCTTAGAAATACTTCATCAAAATTATTTAAAAAAGTAGGAATTACTTTTATTTATAACGTTAATGCGCTATATAACCCAATCTGATAAGTATATTTCCCTTAAAGTTAACCCATTTTATTTACTCACCCTTTGTCTTTCGTGAAAATATATATTTTGTTTAAAACTTTCAGACATGTGCATATATTTTAAAATTGTTGCTTTTTTCTGTCTCCTTTTAAGGCTTAATTTCATGGTGTCGAAAAAAAATTTTACAATCATTCCTGAAATACTCTCATAGTAGAAATTTTAAATCACTTCTAATAAATAAAACTTTTTTGTGATACGGTCAAAATTTATGTACATATATGTGGTTGATATTCTTACCTGCGTAAATAACTTATTATATCCGCTTTGACAGCTAGAGTGACCAAGGCCAAACCTTGGTTCTCGGCCAGTTCCTGCAGCCGACGGAGCATCTGACGAATGTGAATGTCCTCTTTGCACCATAGGCCTATCGGCCCTATAATCCTCTTCGAAAGATATTTTGATTATTTAGGTCTTAAACACGGAGACGAACACAATTTAGCAGTTTTTGTAGTTAACTACTTTTCAAAACAAATCCGCATTTACAGACACACACACACACATATATATATATATTTACATTATGTATATACATATATGTATATATATATATATAGTAAACATGTTATTTAGTCAAGTTGAGTAAACGTTGAAACTTCTTTCAATAAATCAACCAAAATACAAATAAATACTTGCTTGGTACACTAGAGCACGTCTTTTATTAAACTTATTTCAGATCTTGTTGCAATTAATAGACATGCGCTTAGTTTTAAATTAAAAGAAAATGTATGCTCTAATAAAAAACATTTATAACCTGATCTATCAACAATACCTATAATTAACGATAATAAAGTCTATGTAAAGTGTATGAATCACTAAAAAATCCTCTTGACAATTTTTAAAATCCAATTGACTATTCTAAAATCCTATTAACGTTTTCTAAAATCCTATTGACTATTCTAAAATCCAACTGACCCATTCTAAAACCCAATTAACTATTCTAAAATCCAATTAACGTTTTCCAAACTATAATTGACTACTCTAAAATTCAAATGACCCATTCTAAAATCAATTGCCTATTCTATCGTCCAATTCAACTGGAATGGTGTAGATTGGGCCAAAGTCCAAATCTACACCACATTTGCAAATGCCCAACCGTCTGACTTTAAGCAATATATGAAATTATTGAATATAAGTAGCTGCAAAATGAAGTTAGACTATACCTTTTACCCGCTTTTCTGATTTTGTTACAAAATCTTTAAGCCCTTTTTAAAGAAAAACTGACAAATATTTCTGCGCAATTGCTCATATCCATACATACATGCATGTGGACGTGTATATTTCCTACCAAGAATTGAAAATAAACTGCCAAACGAGAGCTAACTCGCACTGCCTTCAGTGGTAGAGCTGTAAAATGCTGACTTTGTATCACGCTTGACAGAAGAATTTACTTTTAAATTGCAAAGTCAGAATTAACACCAGTGATGACAAATAAGACCCAGAAGGGTTCTAACATCACAAAGTTGTTTTTAAGAAAATTCCAGATAGAGCCTATTGAATACAACACAAGCTACTTGTAGAAAAACTCGAGCAAAGTTCATACTGTGAGTGTATAAGGCCCGTCCACATAGAACTTTGGCGTTGCGTTGGCGTTGGCGTCGCTTCAACAGCTGACTATGAATACATTAATTCAAATGCAGCCGTCCACATAGTCAAAATTCGACAACGCTCATGCCAACACGAAATAACAGATGGCCAACTCTCAACTTGTCGCGTGCGTCGCTCGTCAGCTGTTGCAAATAAATAAAATTATGTGAAATATTTTTCCTTTTTAATCAAGTGCGGACAAGAAATATCGCTTTTAGTGCAATTATTGATAAGAAATATTAATTTATCTGTCATTAGTATGTTAATTTAGTGGCCCAAGCATTCGCTGCCAAGCGTTCATTGTAGCAAGCATACTTTTAACGTGTGCTCTGTCAAACCACCGCCAACGCCAAAGCCAACGCGAAAGTTCTATGTGGACCGGCGTAAAAACTTACTTGTGGAACGCGTATGTGTAGCTGGAAGTTACTTCGAGTAGATTGTGGAACAAACCTATTATCGCAACAGGTACGTAACGACCCGGCGATATGGCCATAAAACGATTGATATTTTTTTTTTATTAATTTCTTGGGCATATCAAACATTATCTGAAACATGTCCACTATAATTAAATTATCTCCTTACTTTTTACAGTACAGTTTAAGGAAGTTACAACGTTATGTAAAAACCTCAGAAAATCATAAAAATTTTTGTTTGAATTGAAAATTCAGTACAAATCAGTATAAATTTTGAAAAATCAGGACACTAGCGTACTGATTGAGGAAATAAATAAAATCAGTACAAGAGTTGAAAAATCAGTACTGTACTGATAAAATCAGTACGTCTGGCAACCGTGTTGTTGTCAATTCTATCATGCATTTAGGGATGCGCGATACCGATACGATATTCAATATATCAATATCGTTGTTGAGAATATCGGTTATTTTATATCGATATCAAAAGTTGCGATACGGTATCGGTACGATATTTTGTTTCGATATCTGAAATATCGGATGCTATTTTCCCGATTTCTGGCAACTCAGCTTTTGCTCTTTTCTTTCTTATTCCTTTTGCTCGTGCATGTTATCCCCAAAGTTTCATTCTCATCCAAAGTGATTTTAAAGTTAAAACTGCATTTAAAATACTCAGAAATCTCTCATGTTCATAAAATTTTTTGAACATAATTTGAAAATATACGTGCTTAGTGATTTTATTTGGTAATTACGAGCATTTTCATAGTTCCATTTTCAACCATGAATATGTCGGGGAAATGTGTACATAAATACATGCAGATACATTTTTATTTCTAGGAAAAAGTTTAAAACTGTAGTTCCGCAGATTTTACTAAAATGTTTGTATTTGCTTGAACAATACATACGCAAATACTTTTAGTAAAGCAAAATATTTATTCAAGCCAGATAATGTTACCCTACCTATACTCTGGATTTCAGCCCCCAGAGCCGCATTCCGTCATCGAAAGTGTTACCGAAATCATGGCTCCAAAAAGTGCAGCGTGGAGAGATTTCCAAAGATTAAAAGATAGAAAATCGAAATGCAAAACTTACCAGAAAATTGTTGCGTACTCTGGAGGGACAACAAATTTGTTTGTACACTTGAAAAATTATCATTCCACAGAAAACAAGACGGTAAGTTACCAGGGTATAAATAACAGTGAATATGTTAGGACTAAATACAAATAAATATATTTTCATCAGCTCGCTTAAAACAACTACTCAGAAGGAGGATCGCAGCAATTGAGTTTCGAATCGCAATACAGAGTAAACCCCCTAGACTTGCTTGTGAGGAGGGGAAAATCAAAGTTGTTGAACTCTGGTTAATATTTTTCAAAATAATTAAAGTGTATCTTATCCACAGTAACTTCGTGATATAAATTTATGCTTATTCGTATTTTTTTGGTAGTTTTGCGTATATGTATTTGGCGTTTGTAAATTAAAAAAAAAAAAAAACAACGAAACGAAAACGAAATATACGCAAAACTGCTAACTAACAAAGCAACGAGGTCGGTGTGAATCGATATTGCCGATATTCAATATATCGATATTATTTTAGTAGATATATCGGTATCGAATATCGTCAATTTGGAATATCGCGATACCGATATCAAATTTTCATTGCTGATACGCATCCCTACATGCATTTGCTTTCTCATATAGTTTCAGGCAGGCTCTGCCTAAACTATGTATTGTAACGAAGCGTTTTCCTGTGAAGGCCCCGACGCTTCTGTTTCACGGTGGGCGGTGTAGTGGCGGCGCTCCACCTTCAAATAGCCAAGCCTTGTGCGACAGTCCCGCGTACACGTCAAGGACCATTTGTTGGTGGTTGGGCGTTCACTACAACAACTCCGCTACTGACGCTTAGCTGTAGGCGCCGTCGGTATGCCGCACGGCCCTAGGTCGGCGCTCTGTTCCTGGGTGGCGTCGGCGTTTCCGTGACACGGCTTCACGGTAGGGATGCAAAAAAAACATCGATGCATCGGATACATCGATGTTTGCTATTCGATATATCGAGTAAGACCGATGTTTTAGACCTTCCGATATACATCGCTACATCGATGTATTTTTATTCGATGCATCGACTTTTGTGTGCAATGTATACTGTACATACTAAGATTATTTTGTATGCTTCCAAGCTCTTCGCTCTAGTAACTATTTTAAATGTGGATTTTTCACTAATTATGCACTATTAGAATATACATTCTATTAATATTATTAATTAATCCCAACGGCTTTTTACCCTCCATTCCCGCCCAAGCGACACGAGGGGCGCAGTCCGCATGACGTACGGAACCTTTTTTTTTTAGTTTTTTGGTGCCGAGTAGTGGAAACAGGAGTTTGTTAAGTGTCGAGATCTAAAACTATTCAGCTACAGAATCAAATTCATCAGCTGATTGGATATGCTAAGATAGTATTTAAATTATTGAGAGTGGAAATAACAGTTTTCTTTATAGTAAAAATCGAGTCCGATACGTCAAACGTGCTCGAATGACAGTTAAAATCTTGACATATACCACGAAATGATTCGTTTAGTTCAAAATTAGTTTTGCATGGCTTTAAAAATAGAGGTCGGCCAGGAGGGCCGGGCTATTAATCAAGCCTGTCATTAATTTTACGATAAATATTATACCTAGCATTTCTCTACGACTTGCGAGTGTAGGCAAATTTATAAGCTTTAGGGCCGTTTTCTCATCTAACCTTTAGTTTACCGGCCACTTTATCGTCTCGATATACGAGTTTTCGTTTTCTCATCAGCGCATTAATTTCTCGAATCGATAAACTGTTGCTCACCCGATGCAACCTTTAAAATTTGTTACCAACTTTAAAGTTTGGTTTGGTTTTGGTTCATGAGTCTTATATATATTAGATATTTCAACCAAGGTTTTGGTTTTTGCTAACAGTTGCTCTTGCTCTATATTTGCTTATGTTGCATAGCCAACCTTTGAAATTTTATGACGAATGTAGTGAAGTTTCACTCTCGGAAATGTAGTGAAGTCTCACTATACGGAATAACAAATTTATTTTTACCGGCAAGGTAAAAAACGAAAACACTTTAAAGTGAGGAACAATTTATCTGCCCTGTTAGTAAAGGCAACTTTACTGCTTACATTAGAAAACGGCCCTTAGACGACTTGTGTAAGGGGGGAGATTGTAAGCTGAATCCCAGTTAAAATTACGTAATGCAAAAAGCAAGAATTGTTTTTGAATTGATTCAATCCTTTCTGAATGAACTTGGTAGCGGGAATTCCAAACAATAGATCCGTATTCTAGTATAGGTCTAACTAAACTGGTAAAAAGAGCTTTTGTAACATAATGATCTTTGAACTCTTTTGACCATCGCCTTACAAATGCAAAAACGCCTTTGGCTTTATTGACTGTAACATTAATATGATGGTTGAAATTGAGTTTGGAATCCATTGTGATACCAAG